GCTATTTCAATTTGCCTTTCTGGATGAAAATTTTCCTGTAGTTGCTCATCTTGTCTCCTTCCCAGTTTCACTGCTCTTCCAAAACTTAGCGTGATAAGTTTGTGATCACTACCCAGACTTCTGGAGCCACCTTCATCTATGTGCATTCCCCTGAGCTTATCATACATCCTATATGACATCAGTGCATAATCTATCGTCGACTGCAGCCTTTCTGCCTCCCATGTTATTTGCCCTTCACACTTCTCGGTACTGTTGCAAATGATCAAATCAAGCCTCTCACACATATCCATGATCATTTTACCTGTCGGGTCGGTATACCCATCTATATCTTCTATGTGCGCATTCATGTCTCCTAGTATAACTATCTTGCACTCTCTTTATAACTCCTGAATGTCCTTTGATATACACTCTACCATTGCCTGGTTTTCCTCTCTGGCCTTTGCTCCCGTCCACAAGTACACGAAACCAAGGAGTGTCATTTGACCTGCCACTTTCCCTTTTAGCCATAAATGTTCCTTGCACTCCTGTTTGACCCTTTGCCAGTCTGTACTTTTATGAATGAATGCCCCATACCACCCCCCTTTCTGCTGCCTTCTGTTCTATTACAATATTTACACGCGTAGTCCGGATTGTTCGGAGGTTGTTCCATGTCCCTGAGATGTGTTTCTACAAAACCTTATACTATCGGCCTCTCTTCCCTTAGCTATTCTTCTATCTCTTCCCACTTCAGCCTGTTCCTACCACCCTGCATGTTAATATACCTCACCAATTACTCCTCCTGAAAATTAGTGCCTTAAACATTGACCCGAACATTCTTAAATGGATTGAATGCTTTCTGACTAATCGCACTCAGTTTGTAACAACTAATGGCTATAACTCACCTCTTTCTAAAGTAACATCCGGCGTACCCCAAGGTTCTGTATTAGGCCCTTTGCTCTTTCTTATATATATTAATGATCTCCCAGACAGCATTAACTCCGCTATAAGGTTATTTGCAGATGATTGTGTAATTTACCGCGAAATAAACAATGAATATGATAACCAATTTCTACAGTCAGACCTTGACACTGTCTCAACCTGGTGCAATAAATGGCTTATGACACTCAACTCTAACAAATCTAAATGCATGTCAATAACCCGGCGATCTACTTCTCCCCCCTGTACCTACAGAATTAACGCCGTTCCCCTCCAGCATGTCTCTTCATATAAGTACCTCGGCGTTTACATTACCAACAATCTATCTTGGCACACGCATGTTACCTACATCTGTAATAACGCTAACCGAACGCTAGGATACTTACGCCGCAACTTTTCTCGCGCTCCGCTGTCCCTCAAAATTCTATTATACCGATCACTAATTCGCCCAAAGCTTGAGTACGCGTCCGCTATATGGGATCCCGTGCAGCAAAATTTAATTAACGCGTTAGAATCTGTTCAGAACCGCTCAGTTCGGTTCATTTGTTCTAATTATTCCCGTACTGCTAGCATATCAGAAATGAAATCTAACCTTGACCTACCCAATTTAACTGTCCGGAGGAAACTGGCGCGACTGCATTTTTTTCATAAGATATTTTTTCACAATCCATCAATGAAGCGAGACCTCATTTCACAACCGTCATACCACTCGTCGCGCATTGATCATCAGCATAAGGTTGCCATTCCGTTTTGCCGCACCAAATTCTTTTCAGGAGCCTTCTTACCGAAAACAGCCGCCGATTGGAACCACCTTCCCTCTTCCGTTGTATCAATAACAGACCCTTTGTTATTCAAGACTGCAATTTCTCAGCAATGCTTGTAACTATACGCAGTTTCCACTATCTATCTTTGTCTTGTATGTGCTTGAATTCTTATACATTTTTAGTTGACTTATGTTGCCTTCCTGATTTGCGCATCTGATACTTGTTTCTTTATTTTGTCTTTTTTTCTTGTGTGTTATATATGTTGTACCCACCCCCTCTGTAATGCCCTACGGGCCCTGAGGGTATTCTAATAAATAAATAAATAAATACTCTATGTCTGAATTGGCTCAGTGCTCGTGGCTACGTCTATTTATGCCCCGGACTCTACCTATCTTAGATACTGGTGCCACTTTGGAATCGTATCTGTCCATACCACCTGTCAAAGAGTCTCCCTGGTTGCTTTCGTTACTAGCTATCCTGCACCCCGAAGGGCCCGCTTGCCCCCCAAAAAAGCTACTGAGCGTCCTGCAAGTCGCCAACCCACCTCATGACCTAGCCGCCCATCGAAGTGAATTCTGTCTCGTTGAAAACCACCACACCTATCCGGTGTGTGCCTGTCCGGTGTCGCAGCGCCACCATGCATGGCTTTGGCTTCCTATAACCATAGTCCCTCAAAAAAGTATTTAGGGGCCATGCTATAACGTAGCATATAGCATCATTCTGTGGTAGTTCTGTGCATGGAGGAAGGAAAGACACGTTCTGTGGTAGCATTGCCATGGCATGCAATGGCATTGCCTGGAAGACGTGCTAGAAGACATGGTGGAAGGAATCGCATGCTGTAAGACATGACTATCGCAAGCTTGCAATGAACAACACTGCTCAGGCTTAGAAGATTTACGTTGCCAAGATGGCTACACAAAAATGAAAGTCATGCGCTTTGTGCAGTTTGATTGTAACGGTTATAATACAAACCCCAGCTCCTTGGTATCGTGAAATGCTTGCAGTGTGTGGTTACACAGGCAAGTTATGCAAAACAAAAAGCTGCTGCAGCGTACAAAGGATACTAAAAGCAGCGATCTTTTATACTTGTTTATGTTGTTTGCCCAACAATAATAGTACTAATAGCCCGACAAGCAGTTTTCAGACATGCACCAACTGCACAGTTACTCCACATTACGATGTCACCACTTAACTCTTGTATGTGATCGTGACCGCTCAAATTGACATGAAAAAAGCCTTGCTTTTCGTCCTGGCCGCACAAAGTCATGGAAAGCCAACACACATGTAGAGGCAACTTATGCATTGCTGTCACCTTTGCCATGTCATAGCCAATGTGTTTGATGTTACTGGAGGAGGTAGTGGGAAGTTCTTTCAGCATTTTTTTTCCATTTCAGGCCTTTCCTACTAAGCTGGGCAACTACCCATGTCAATATTGACTTATTTGCTATTCCAGAAGTACCACATGTCAGTCTAATATACTTCCATTTCTCTCTTGAGCTGCTTTTGGTGGTGTTCACAGTAGAGTTTAGAAATCTCAATGCATTGCCATACACGATTTTCATGTGGTTCCATTCAGTGAATGCTTCATGAATTTTGCTCACCTTGTATGGATTTGTACAAGGTGAAGGTGTACAAGGTACAAGGTTACAATGGATTTGTAAGCTTCAGATAAGCTTACAAATCCATTTCTTGGAATGGGAACATAGTAGTGGCAATATGATACAACTTGGACAAGTGTCACAGAGACATTTTCAATCGCAGTAGGGCCCATTCCTAATTTAATAGTGCTAAATTGTGCCTTTCTATCGCTATCACTATCCGGCCGACATCTGCACCCTCTGAAATGTTTCTACAAGATCAACAAACAATAGTTATTGGCTTCCAATGACTCGCAATGACCAATTAATTATCTCCCACAAAAACATAAAGAAAAGGTGAGGTTTTATAACACCATTTACAGAGCATATAAGACAACTTTAATAGGTGTTTAGGAGTGACCTTGAGCTCAATAGAACTTGGTCCTAATCAGAAGACCGAGTATCAGCAGTAATTGTCAAACACAATAAATATATTCAATTTGCATTTAGTCAGATTTAACTGTTTCTGCAATGCCAGTGTAATATTAGAGCTGTGTGAGTGGCAAATTTTTGGGTGCGAAGCGAATTTGAATATTTTATTGCGAGCACAAATCGAGTCAAATATGTTTTTTAATATTTCTAGAATATTATTCGTATACTTCGAAGCTAAATCGCAGCAAAAAAAGTTGGAAGAGGACTTCTAAGCATATTCTTATGAGACAAAAACACTTAGGTGTTTCTTTTCACGAGGTCAATGAAGGACTGGCAGGTTGGTGTTTCAATGTTGTCTTATCAAGGCGGACGCAATACAGAGACCGAATTGTATTTATGTATATGATTTGGTGCAACCAGTGTTGCCAAGAACACTTTTGAATGAAAAGCGAAGACGCCATTTCCTCAGCTTCTCCTTTTCTTTCAACTTCTGTGGAAGCCCAACTGTTGTGGCAAGCAAGGGTGTGCTCCCTTTAACCCCACAGTTACAAATCTGATTCATGACGTCATTATATAAAAACATCTGAAATTTTGAATGCTAGAAATCTTCGGTGTCCGATTTTTCTGACTTCCCGCCTAAACTCAGGTTCATTTACCTCTGCCACGTCTATATTCTCCACACTGGAACTAGAGTTTTTTACAGTAATTATATTTGTGACCGTAGCACAGCATAAAAGATAGCTCTGCCGCAATACGATAGTATGATGAGGTGGAGCATATTAAAAACCTGAAGAAGCCACTTTTAATTTGACGTTGACCGTCTTCGAAAAATTCAGCCATAGCAGAGACTGAGAGTGGTTTTGCCACAGTACGAGACTGTAATGAGGTGAAGCATACCAAAAATTTTGAAAGGGTTTTTTTTTTGTCAGACCATGACTGTTTTTGTTTGCGAGAAGTTCGAACGGATTCGAATAGCAAAATTGGAGTGCGCATTGAATAGCAAACACTATTTGAAAAACATTTGAAATTTTGAATATTCGCACACCCCCACATAATATATGTCAGTAGTATTTTTTTCTCAGACTTACAATGAACAATTATCAGCTTGCTAGTCTACAATTAAATTCAGTTACTAAACATTAGTTGGCAGTTAGCAATTGTACATTTTGTCTCTTTCTTTGTAGTGTACATTCTGCATTAAAACTCATAGTTGTGGATTATCAACTAGCCTAAACCATGCTCAGTTACAAAACACCTAGCCAAAAGGAACCGTGCTTCTGGAGGTATCTGCATCAGAGTAAGACCACAGAAACTAACAAAAACAGTTTATTACAAGCTCTCCCAACATAAATAAGCTTCACCGGAAGAACACTGTTCAAAGTATGAAAAATGATGCATCTCAAAACAGCACGTGAACTTGGCAGTGAGCGTGAAGATATGCAGCTGAAGCTGCCCGGCATCACAGTAGGCATCGGGTTCTTTGTTTCGTTGTAAGCTTGTGGAGCGGCACTGTGTTTCCTCCTTTCTGCACACATCAAAAACTGTAGTTAAGATCCGGAGGTGAAGTTGAAGTAGTCAAATGTAGTCGCAGCCGGTGCTGCTTCTGGCTGTGCAATGGATGTGGAATGTCCTTGGCTGGAATTCAGTGGCATCAGCATGCTCGAGCTAGCGACCGGGTCAATGCGCTTGCGGCTCTGCGGCAACGGTGCGGGCCCTTTCCTCTGTGGAGTGGGTGCGGCCTCTCTTTGAACGACTGCGACTACACTGCCACTTGGAATGCGGCAACGATCCCTGCAATAAAGCGATACAACTGACTGTCTCACTCAATTTCTTTCATGATTTAATTTTAGTCACATTTCAGCCAGAGTTTATTTATTCTGTACTATCAATACTTTGGCAACATTCAGGTTGCCTTCTATTAAGGGCCAGTATACATACTTCCATGTCGCCTACGAATGAATGTCTAGCTTGAAAGAAAAAAAAGGAGAAAAAAGCTAGAACGATGTTATTAAAAGCAAGGCTAACTCAGTTACAAAAAGTCATATCATACATCGCAGTACAGTTGTACATCACTTCGCATCAGTGCCTCACACAAAGTGCTTGTGAATGACATTTCAGATGATTTATGAATCATATTCAATTTTTCAGATGTCACATGCTTGCTGTGTTGCTAAAACATAAAATGTCTGTTGATTTCAAAGTAAACTTGTTTAGCAGCTCTCCATTTGTAATACTCGCTATTGTACCATTCTGGGCAACGCCACAGATTAATGTTGGTCGACCGTAATGGCACAATTGGCATGAGAGCTTCACGATATTGATCAATGCAGTGCTATGGCCCTACATTTTTTTTATGGCTTTCAGCAAACTGTACGACTCCTCTGAAATGAACTTCAACGGTGCAGCATCAAACTATAAATGATCGCTAGCTCTAAAGTTCCACTGTATTCATTTTTAGGGATTTTTTCTAAGTGGAAGGCGTTTTCACAAACTGCAAAATTATTTAGACATTCGGAAGAAAACTTTCCTTTATCTGTGGAAAAAAATAAAAAGATTCACAACGGTACTTCGTAAAAAATGCCTAATTTAAATATAATGGAAGTTCTGTGTGACAAAGCAAAGTGTAAATTTTACGGACTTGTCACGCAAGAGGTTACTGACACATCTCTTTTAATGTGCCTTTACTAAGTCAAACAAATGAACAAATAAACAAAGTAAGCACAACACTCACTTGTAGGCCGTTACGACCACATTACGGAAAGGTTCCTGGTCGTAGCTTTGGGTGTCGCAGCCAAAGAACTCGGCAAGCTCGTGCACTGCTCTGCGCTGCTCTCGGTTCATCGACGGGAAGCAATGGCTCCGGAACTTTTGCTTGGACTAATAGCAATGAAAAGAAAGGATGAACGACAATCAGCACCCCTTTCAAAAAGATCGCACTGACTAGTATGCAATGCATGCTTAAGTGCAAGTCCTCTTCAAGTGTCTCATGGAGCACTAAAACTACAACAGCTGTGCTTCTTGCTTGTTTTAAATGCGAATGCATTTCTTAGTCGGGCTATGTCAGGTGTCTATTGGGACCTGTCCACCCTTAGCAACGGCTGCAGGCAGTGCCTGCTTATCCTCCCCCCTAGCAACCGAAGCATGTGGTGCGAGAGTGTAGGAGAGAGTAGGTGCAGTGCTTCCCCGCTCCTTCTCTCATCGTTACTCTCTCTCCTCCCTGAACCCCATTTTTTCCCTTCCACTCGCGCCTCACTTCCGTTTGCTGGCTGGGCGCCTCTCAAGAACATTCAGAAATGTGTGCTCAAGAGGCCGCTGTGAAACGCCGAGCCGAGAACGCTGTTTGTTTTGTTCACTTCGTAGTATTTTTTAACCATGCACGCTGGCTACTAGAGCTAAAGATGCATACCGCATTTCTCATGACAAAAAAACGCCACGTGCGGCGAACAGCGGTATTGGCTGCACGATGTAAGGAAAAAAAAAAGAAAAACGTTAATTTTTTAACGCTGAGTTCTCATGTGCCGAATGCCGTTATGGACGCTGCACACAATGCATTCACATTTCCTCACAATTCCCTTCGGGGAGGTGGGGGAATTTTTGAAAAATAATAAATAGTTGGCCGTACATGATGGCTTCTTGGATGCGACATCCATGTTGTTGCATGATGTCCTTTCTGGTGCCACATACATATAGTCATGGGCTCGTCCGATGAAGGAGAAAATTTCAAGTGAATGTTGCGACGATTACAAGCACCTCTTTTTTTTTTTTTTTTGTTTGAGAATATTACCATGCTCATAAGCATGCACAGAGTTGCCCATCAGAGTGGGCGAAGCTTCATCACTGTGCTCCTTTTTTATACCAAGTCAATGCACTGGGGAGATTTAGTTTCATGGGGGCGAAAGAGAGGATGCAAGTAACCATAGTACATTTCTTCAAACCAAGAGCTTGCATCATGCAGAAATGCATTCCATACATGCCTGGACAGCTGAGTTTGTTTGAATGCAGCTTATGTGAGCTAGGATGGCTGAATATTTAAGATACAGTCGACTGCCGATGATTCGAAGTCGCTTAATTGGAATTTTCGATTAATTTGAAGTCAACAAGCAGTCTTATCCAATTTTGCATGCATGCCTATAGAAAAAAATGCTTGATAATTTGAAGTTAATACGCCGTAATGTTGGGTAATTAGAAGTTATTTTTCAGTCGAGAGCCTCGAGGCGACTGTCATTTTTCAATAAGTGGGAAATCTTTCATGTGCAAAGACCGCGAGGAAAGCTGTCGAACCGCGCTGTTGTCGCCATTGCCACTGCTCGCAGTGCCACGCATCATGAAGCGGCATCGCATTAATCACATCGGCTACCTAGGTCTTTCTTTGTGATGTGTTGAGTGCTTCAGCCGCGCCCTGGGTTGAAGTCTGGTTGAAGTTAGAATAGCGTGACTGGACGCTGGCAAAAAAAAAAACGATCACACAGACACAGAGCTCTGTGTATGGTTGTGTGTTATGCTCCATTCGTGTCAAGTTGCACCCTTCAAACATAGCGTGATAAACCAACTGGCCTGCCAATGCATTGTGGATCGATTCTGCACGTGTTTCTATGACTGACTTTGGGTGTTGTGGTGGAGACGTTCGATAATGGCAACTCACGACCTCTACCAAACGTTTGACCTGTGCACGAAAGTCAAAAGTCTTGAAAGAAGTTCACCAGGGAGGCACTGCCAAGCAAGACATCGCACGAAAGTATGGCATTAAGCCTAACTACCTTTCGAATTTCATCAAGTGCAAACAGGTGATCTCGACGATGGTAGTTTTGAGGCTGTTCTTAGTGGTGTCCGTTTTGAAAAATTTGTTGCCGTTGTGGGGGTGCTGACATCCCCTGTAAAGTTGTTTACGCTGCGTGGCGCACGTGTCTCACCCAAAAGCTGCATTTTGTGTTACAACCAGCAGGCGATAGATGGCGTTGTGTTTGCATTGAGCACCACTATCATCATCATGGCTGGTAAAGTGGTAGCGCCGGCGGTAACCCCTGGCGGAAGGCAAGCCTTGGAGGCGGGCGAGAGGTGAGCGAGTCTCTTCTGCATGTGGCGGTTGTCGCGAACGGTTGTCTCTAGCGTAGGGTCCCCGGTGCTCGGCACCGCGGGCTGCGCTTTGGGGGCCCTCATGGTAAGTCAAGCATTGGCGACGCCACGCCGCCTTGGGTGTGTTATTGTGTTTGTCATGTTATTGTATGTTTGCCTGTGTTATTGTGTTTGTCATGGAGTGTATGGTAATATAATGTGTACGGATGTCCTAGTGTGTTAATTACAATTGATGTATAATAATTCGGCAGACGATATTGTCGTTCAAAAGTAGTTAAATAAATGTATGTTGTTTTTTTGCTTTGTATCGACCGCGTCTGCTGTGTCCTTTCATTCCAAGAGTGTGGCGTGTCGGCTCGCCAATTCGAGACCCCACACCGTGGCAGCAACGTCGATGAATGCGGTCCACTAACGAACAGGAAAATTGTGCAGGTTATTCGGCTAGTGGATGACAACATAGAAATGAACCGCCACTGAAAACTACCAATGTTGCTGCGGGTCTTGCTCTCGCGCTGTCATGTTTTGTTGAAAATGACAATGCTGAAGAAGCACATCGACATGTGTAGTGCTTGAAAAACTTGCCTAGCCGCAGACAGGTTCGAAACGAGAAGATGACGAACTATTTTCTTAGTGAACTGCCAGGTTTGAAGCAAGTGCAGTTTTTGTGCCTCTTGCTTAATTAGAAGTTTGTTTAATGTGATGTTTTTGCAGATACAGTCAAACCTCCTTAGTGCGTACCCACTTTAAGCATAATAACGATTAAAACGTAGTTGTGACGAATCCCCGACCGAGATCTCATAGACTAACGTAATCGCGGACCGCTTAAGCCGTAGTGTTCGGCCTATGCCTTCCGGTTAGTGCGTACTAACTGCGTATTGCGATAAGATTTTGCGCGACAAAATTTTACTGCTCCGCTGAACTTGCAGACGCCACCATGTGCCGTGAACCGGTTTTCAGTTCAATTGATAAGTGCGAAGATTAGCCAATAAGTTAATACGAGTTGCGTGTGATTGCGGCGATGACACTGCGAGTGAACCATCGGGGAAAAAAACTAAGGCGAGGTGGCGACCACCGACAAACGCACTGGTATGACTTATCGTTGGCGAAAAGCCTTATCACAGTAAGCATCCAGCGGTTATCTCCTCAGGCCATGCTTCAGGCACGCATGTGGCGTAGCATCGCTTTAGGCCTACTGCACCCTTTTAGTGGGCGGCTACCTGAACGGGCTGGGCCGCCGAACGCTCCCGCTTCGTTTTGCGGGATTGTGTTCAAGCGCGCACCACTTTACAGAAATGCAAGCAGCTTGCTGTCACGGAGTTTAGCGTTGTCGATCGCGGGCACCGAGAAACCTTGCTGTATTATGCCAACATGCGCACCGTACAGCGAGCATAGTACTGTTGTTACCACGCTGCACACTTTTATTTAGTGACAGCCAGAATGCGCCTCCGTCCGCTGCCAGGACTGCTAGAGCATCGCGGAGAACACATTGCTTGAAAAGCTCTTCTGCGCCGCGTTAGTCCAGCAGGCTACTCGCCAAATCTGTACAGCAAGCAAATCGGCAGTCACGGCGTGCGCAGAGTGAACAAAGCGCTGCACGCAACTAGCCATGCAGTAAACGATTTGGCTATCTGCGACTGTACAGCGTTTTAACCCTTTAACTCGCAGATCCCGAATATTGTAGACCCAAAGAAAAACCGCTCCTGTTCAAAACGCCCGCGTAAGATGAGTTTGTTTCGCTAAGTTTAGCAGCAAAAGGTCATATTCTCTTGGTTCTAGTTGGTATAGAAGACGACAAAGAGCGCCAGTTGATGCTTCGTTCACAACAATGTAGCACGTGCGGTTCGCTGACGTTCTCCACCAACGACGGGATTGTGCCTCACGTTCCAAGAGCTCCAAGAAGGTAAGCAAATTGATATTTTTTAAACACGTAGAAGGAGGTATCAGGAACCTGCGGTTATGATTTTTGTGGTGTTGTTTAGCCGAGACGCTGAGAAAGCAACCCGCTATCGCGGTCCACAAAATTGTTGAGCTGCCAGGCAAGGGTTGCGGAACACCGCACCGCGTTGTAGACTGGTATGAATGCTGCACGCCTCCTTGGTTGGCGCGCTTTTAGCGGTGTAATTGTTAGCTGCTGCAACATTTTTATTGAAAATAAAGCCTGAGAAGCTATTGCGTGTGCAGTCAGAGCCATGAATACTTAGTAGTTTCTCACCATCAAAGCTTTGTAGCCACAAATACAGTATATTTCAAAAAGGAACCACGCGAGTGTATTTTCATAGAACTCACTGATCGTATTCATTGAAGGAATGAATAAAGCCATCTTCAATGGAAAGTGGGGCATGAAAAAGAGTTGTGCTCTTGTTCCACTGCATCCAAGTGACTCAGAACTTGACTCAAGTGATGATGACACCAGGGATAAAATTGTGCACGCTGATATTACAGAAGTGCGACCAAGCCAGGACTCACTCAGGAGGTGTGGACAGACAGACGGACTGACAGATGCACGGACGGACAGACAAATAGACAGACAGATGGACGGACAGATAGATGAACGGACTGACACTCGGACGGACAGATAGACAAACAGACACTTCCCTGCACTCATCATCATTCGCTCCGTAGATATGCGGTAATATTTTTTTTAGCCCTGCCTTTTCATCGCTAACTGGCAGATTAACAAAATTCTTGACTTCCTATTATTTAATTTTTTATCAAACATAATGAAACTTGTTTAGGTGATTCTGTGGTGGTTCTAGAGAGGAAGTAAACCAGCAGAAAAATATTTCCACTGTTTTTTCTTATCTTGCCAGTTAAAGGGCTAAAAAAGAAAACTACGTCAGTTTTTGCTTTGAAGCAGACCGCGGAACAAATGTGTCACGGACAGCCGATCGTGTCCTGTCCACTCAGGAAGGAAAGTTGTTTCCTTCCTCCATGTTTCTGTCGGTGTACCACGCTACATATCTCAGATCCCGCAGTGGTTTCGAAATGCTCATCGGCCTCTGGATCGTGTGCTATCAGGCGGTTCTTCGAGGGTCTGAAACTTTTCTGTACCTTGGCAAAAAGAAAGAAATGGCTTTGCGGTGGGCACCTTGGGCAATATTTCCCGTGGCACTGCGTTTGCTGACTGTACCAAGTATGAATCTCATGCACATAATGGTACAAAAAGGCAATTCAAATTATTCACTGTCTAACAAAATTAGCCTGAAAATACTGCTAAAACATTCCGGCAACCACTGTTCCAAAAGACAGAGCCTCTACAGCTTTATATACCTTACTGAGCTTGACAGGAAGGCTACATCTAAATGGAAGTATTCATCATCCTCACTGTGTATGTTGCATTTTAGTGTAGAGCTATGCCGAACAGAGGTAGTATGATGTAAATGCACTGTCACAAGCTGGTGCACGATATGCATCCTAACTGATGAGACATTGCATTCCGTGGCATTCCATATGCCATGGAATGATTATATGCTACAAAATGGCATATTAAGAGAAAATGCACCAGCAAGGTGAATGCATGTTGCAAGGGCCAGAAGCATGGATCTGGTCCGACATCTCAATGCTACTAGGTTAAGCCAGTTCAAAGCTGCAGACCTCTGCATGGGGACAGTATCATGAGCAAGAGCCGGTATTACCTGTCGTGCCGTTTGCACCAGCTGCGTCAGAGTTTGGTGCACCGAAAGCATAAAAGATGGGTTCTTGCGGGCTTCGTCCTTCAGGAACTCAGAGTAGCATGGAGGGCCTACTCGGTTTGACACATCTGCATTCTGTATGTGCAGGGCATTTGCCAATCGTCGATTTCGCTCCAATACGGCACACTCTTCGTTGCAGTCCAGCCTGGGCCAAAAAGAAATCAAAACAGTCTTTCATTAAGTTTCACTTCTGATCTCTCACAAAGAGCTCAAGCTAGTCAATCGCCAAGTGAATTCAGGACAGGCGACCAGCATGATCGCAACACAATGAAAAAGACATACAGTAGACTCTCAGTAAATGGAAATCTGTTAAACGAAACTACTGCCTAAACAGAACTATTGCCTCTGCAATGCTTGGTTCCGGGCTTGTATTCTGCAGGCATTTTGACCTCTCAGTAAACGAAACTCCTGTTAAATTAAACATATTTTCCCGGCCCCTTCATGTTCCGTTTACTGAGAGTCTACTGTACAGGTATGCAGTACTTTTCTCCGTTTTGCTTGTCTGAGATAGAGTGCAGTACTAACGTAGTGTTCTGCACTTGTTGCTACGACATCAGGATGCTTATAGCGCATGGAAAGACTAGAAAAAAACACTGTACGAGTGTCCAACCTTCCCCACCCTCATCTTTCATGTGCTATAATCTTTCTGAGATGGACCAAACATTGAAAGAAAACATCAGATCCACACAAGGTGCTCATTGCACTTAAACCAAATTACCTAATCCAACAGACAACGAGATTCATTTTAGTTGTTTCAAGCAAAGAATAAAGCCTCTCGAACAGTTGCTCTTCCTTTGCCACTATGCTTTATGTGTTGTATGCACTCGTGTAAGGGCTGCAGCTTTTTTTTTTCCGTGGTTTTGACGGGGTGTGAACCTTCTATGAATGTGCGAAATTTTTTATTCGTTTTCTCTACACGTACGAAAAAACCTATTTAATTGTGCCCCATATACCTCACAGTGAGATATCTGGCGTCTAGCTGCGGACATCCTCGCTAGATGTCTTCAGCCGTTCGGCTGCTTGGGCTCGGCTGCTTGGGCTCGGCTGCTTGGGCTCGGCTGCTTGGGCTCATTCCCCGGGTACCTCATTCAAGCCCTATGAACTGGACCCCGCAACCTGCTGCTCACGGACAAGAAAATTGTGCAATAGGGTACTATTGCTCCCAGCATCGCTGGTATCCACCCCCTGCCCAGGGTCTGGATAAGGCCGGAGAAAGAATTCTAAGCCAGCTCCAAAAAAACAGGTTGCTGTGCCCGGTGATATTACAATATTTTGACCCCATAGTCACCGGCAGGTGCAAGCACTGTGGGTAGGCGTCTACCACATGGTGCAGGCTTGTCAGTTAAACACAGCCATTTCTCCCCTCCAAGACCCTACGTGAAAAGACTGGGAGGTGACGCTACTTAGCCGCTCCGACCTTGGGGCCGAACAGGCACTGATCTCCCGAGCAAATGACGCCCCGGACTGAGGATGTCACCAAGTCTGTAAGGCCTTTTTGGGGTCCCATACACTCTTTTTTATAATAATGTTTTTCACCACGACCAGCACCAGATGGTGCCGTGTGATCGAAGCTCACAGAGAGTGCCACCTGATGAAGCTGCAGAACAGCTATTGCCATCTGGTGGCTCTCACGAAATGCGCCGTGGCAAGTGAAAGCACCATCACTGTAGAATATGGAGCACTTTAAGAGAATTCTGTCCAGCTTTTGTTATGATTCCCACATCCCAGCAGACTTTAAACAAGCGAGGTTACATGCCTGGAAGGCCTGCTTCGGGCTAGGCTGACCGTGCGACTGATGTCGACGCTCTCTCCAAGCTGGATGTCCTTGATCTTGGAGGCCAGCAGAGATGCCGACAGCTGGTGAAAGCTTGACTGCTGAGCCTCCGAGCTGCCGCAGGGAAGCTTCTCCAATCGTCGGCCACATTCACACGAGATGCTCACCTGTGAATGTGAATACGACACTTTGCTAAAGCCAGTAATTGCTAACTTCAAGTTAATGGCCAAGAGGAATGTTTCACAGACCCTCACAGTTGCACTAAAATTCACTGCCACTGTGTTTTGATAACTTCCTTCTCAACTGTCCAATTTGTAGGAGAATGTCTAGCATTTGCCAAGCAAGCCTTGCCATGGTGTTACAAGTGCTACATTGTTACTGATTACAAGTTCTGATGCTTGGTGCAAACACTGAAAAGATATCTTCTCTATCCTGCAGTGGTTCAAGCCAATGGCTGCTTGTACTGCATCATTGGTTGCACCAAATATTGTAAATCAGTGCACTTCCCATCTGCACTGACTCATTTTGGATAAAACAACAAGGGGAACACAACATTGTGGTGACCCTTCAGCGCTTCACTAACCTAGCCAAAAAAAAAAAAAGTTTTCATGTTTTTATCTCATAAGAATATGCTTAGGAATCTTCTGCAGCTGTCTTTCCGTAATGCGACTTTCAAGTATTAGAAATACATTTGAAAAATATTCATTTCGCACTCGAGCTTTAGCACTTAAACTGGCTACTGACCCAAAATTTTGCTATTCACACAGCTCTAGTGCAGGCACTATCGTTTAATTAAGTAGCAACTGTGGCTATGCTACCACAGCTTGTGACATTTCTGTTGTCAGTTTTTGATAACTGTTTAGGCAACTGTGGCACTGCTGCCACAGTTGCTACATACTTATTACAAAGTGATGGCCGCCTCTAGCTGTAAATCCGATTCTCACCAATGTTTTGCAAGTAGAAGCCACTGAGCATGGGGTGCCTGGATGGCAGGGCTCCCCACAAGGGTGACCACATGATGGCCGCGGTGTCACGCAAGGCTGGGTGCACGCCTGCGCAGAGCCCTGAGGACGGCACTCGCCATCGTGGCAGGTCTGTTGGCACTGGTGCTGGCCACAGGGCAAGTCACGTTGACACGGTCGCCCACATGACAGGCCTTCCAGAAAGCAGGGCACGGCCCGGCGTTTCTGCAACCGAGCCACAAAAAAAGAACAATGCCTGATGGCTACTGGTGGTCAGTGGATCCACGGTTTCTAAAATTAGTGCAAGCATTGCAATAAGGAAGGGACAACTGCAAATTTACAACTTTGTTAGAGCTGTAATTCGATGCGCATATCCACTGGTAACCTTATTTAAAAGTATGAACAAACTTTTCTGTCAGTTGCAGAGTCTCAATCACAAGTAGTTTAGTCAATGTGCCACAGCACTCTTCAAGAAAGGGCAATCTATTTGTTAGCACAAGCATAGCTGTTGTATTCCCTATGCCTAGAGTCACATGATACTCACTGGCTGTTCGCCCTTCTTGTGGCTAATAGACTATCGTGCTTATTCTTTCTATCTGCACACCCCATTGAAAATAACCTCTTCCAAAGAAAAAAATTTCAGTGTAAACAACTACAAGAGAATCTGCAATAGTGTGAAAACACTATCTTAAACCATCACACTTATGCAGAAAACTCCAAAGAATCTTTTTTTTTTCAGATGGCGACTGAGAGGCAAAAAGCACAATTATGAAAAGAAGATGCAGAGAGGGTGAGTGCTAGTCCTGTTTATGTGTTCTTTTCGTGGTCTTGTTTTTTTGGCATTAAGTCTACCACTGATACAGAAGGACCACCAACAGCCCAACCGCAAGCACTATTTATTATAACTAGGCTTGTGCAAATATTCAGGCACTTTGCATATTTGAATGAATATTACAGTATTCGGTTTGGTTTTAATCTAAGTTTAAGTTATTGGAAACTTCGAAGTATTAAAAACTATTCGAAATGAACAAATGGGCACACATTAATATGCATGTAACTCTCCTGTAAAGGTGGTCTCATTGAAGTGGACGGATGCTATGCTGTAAATTCCCCTACCCTGAAAAAAGTCTGCACTGCCGAGAATCCCTAATTGAAGTCTAAATGAACACGTACTAACGCCCCATCGATTCATTTTTTACGTTTAAAAGCTTGTGTACCGACTTACATTATCTAAGTCCACCAAACTTTCAAATTTTACAGGTTGTCGCTTGCATTCTACCGACAGTAAAATCCTGCTACTATTCAAAGTTGCTTCCACTACTTCTGAGCCAAGATGATTAACATTTGCACACACCTTGTTTCAATTAAAAAGATATATGTATTGTGCAGGTTATTTGGGTTGTGACAAATATTGTTATTTTGCTTTATAACATAAAATGCACATCATTTAAGTTTAACCCTAAATTATTTAATAAGTTAACTACTTCCAAGTCGCTCATTATAACCTTTTAATATTTGCTGTGCTTGTGTTTTTGCCATTTTTCGCCATCGCTGGCATATTCATTACTGTGCAGAGCTTGGCACAGCAAGCCTTTGATTCAACACACGACATTATGAACTGGCCATGGCACGGACGAACAGTTACTAGGGAGGTCGTAGTTGCAGAATGCTTGCACACTAAAGGGCCAGAAAACAACCCCAAGGTTGTAAAGAGAAATATGTGCACTTTTACTTCGTGAACAAGCTGCCGCAAGAATTTTGCGAATACGTGCTATATTAAGGAAGTTACAGGGCTAGAACATTGCGTCCAGCTCGTTTCAAGTTTTTCGCGCGGTCTCGCCACGCTTCTCCTTCAGCAGAAGGGGAAGGCGCGGCCCGTCCTCGTGACTCTGCCCACTTCAGCAATGTGACAAGACGTCAGCGATTGACGTCATCGGCGAACTCGATCAGTCGCAACGCACTTTCACTTGCTGCGATGCATGGTTGTTTTCCCTTTACCCGGTGCCAACTACAGTAAAACCTCATTAATTCGAAGTCACTGGGGTCGCAAGAAATCATCGAATTAAGCGGGTTTTCGAATTAACAGAACATACAAAAAGTGGGATGCAAGGAACTTCAAAGTAGTCGGTGCTCATTGTTTGCTGTGCCGGCTAGCTAGCGGCTCCAAAGGTTATGTTTGCCAGCAATACCTGGTCTCAATTTTGCCGCGAACATGAAGGAATGGTGGGCCACGCTGCTGCCACCGAAAAAAAAAAGAAAAAAAGCGGCCTTGATCGATTAAAATGTGCGCCTGCAGAAAACAAGACATCTTCACTGCAATACAGTAGTGACACGCGGGCAGCATGTCGCCTGCTCCTCGCTGTGTCAGCACGTCATGATGCGACCATTCGCACATTCTTTCTATTATAATTATGAATTTAATTATGACCAGTATGACGAAGCTCACAATGTGTTTTGGCTGGAAAAAATTATCTTTGAAACTTCCGAACTTAGTTTTCGAAGTAGGTGTTGCTGGCAAGAACTCTGCCAGCAGTGCAAGGACGCGAATAGCTGGAGCAACCGGCAATAGGAGGTTCGCATACATCACGACTTCCGCTAAACTGTTTTTTATTCATTTCTTTACAATCCCAGAAAGAATGGGTAAACCATGACCCGCTGACGTTGCGAGAAACATACAATAAGCTGCCCGCTTGTCACTGCTGTGTTGCAGTGAAGCACAGCTCATTTTCCGCAGCGCACGTCTTAGCTGACCACGAGAATGTTTTTTCTTTTTCTTTTTTGTGCTATAAGCAGCAAGACTGGGGTTCTTCGGCTGCTACTGATTAGTATCGATACATTGCATTGCCTTGTTGCAATTATTGGCCGTCGTTTCCGCAGATTCGCGGCGAAATCGGGATCTGGAACTGGCTAATGGCACCCAAAGTTTTCGAATTAACCGTACTGGAGCCGGCCACCGCTTCAAATTATCCCCTCAAACTTGCATTGGTAAATACGGGACCGCAGAAATCCCTCGAATTAAGTGGGACTTCGAAATAACCGAGTTCAAATTAACAAGGTTTTACTGTACTTGCAGCAAAAAATGCGTTCCAAACCCCAGACATGAAGTTGGCCAGATTTTTCTGGAGTTCAAATTTTAGGAAGCAGACTGCCGCGCCATATGGGAGTAGCAACACAAAACACAAATAATGCACTTAATAGTGAGTGTGCCTATCAACAGGTGGTGCAACAATCTGCTCACTCATAAAGACTGGGTCAGTGAAGTGTCCCAATTTCGATGCATGGAGCCTATGGGGAGTTTCACAGCTCGTATGATTGAATAGCTCTGTCATAGCGGTCGGTGGAAACAGGAACTGTCATTGACTTCAATACTGTTAGTTGAGACCTGGTCTAGACGAATCGATGAGCTGCGTGCTGCGTCATGTGGCCGAGTTGTCACTGAGCATGCAAGGAGATTGGTCAGGCGTAGGAAAGGAGTGCAGGAATTGTTTTTCAAAATGGGGGCTTGGCGCAGGCACGCAGCTCTGTAATATTCAAAAAGCGTGATCGCTGCGGTCTACTCAACGAATTACCGAGCTTGTTTGAGGGGTGTAAAAAAAAAAGTCAGAGCCTGTTCACTGGCCCTTTAAAACTGTTGCGACAAACCCTGCAATGTAGTGAAGAGGTTTAGTGATTTGATGCTAACCTCATGATGACCAAAGCACCATTTTTCAGTGAGCTGTGGCGCAGGGAGGACAGTCTGGGTCACTATGGCATGTGTGGGTGACAGGGTGTCCACAAGGGTGTTCCCGGGCACATGGCTGACCACATTCGGGAGGTCTTGTCCCGCACGCTATGGGGGGACTCAGCGTGACACTGCCACAGTGGCAGCTCAGGTCCTCAAAGCCTGTTGAGAGTAATATGGAAAGCATTTCCTCATTTGCACGCGAGATTATGTGTGAAAATAATTGACCCCCCTGCCACATGACATTTCTTCTTTTCTTTCTATTCTCACAAAGGCTCCAAGTATAGGCAAACCTCACTATAAAATACTTGTACCTTACATGAAATTGAGTTTGTTATATAAAAAAATTCGTTACAAAGGCACATTCTTAACACTGTATCTATTGCCAAATTATTCTTCATTCACTTCTTTATAACTGCGTTATATCTGGGTTCGCTATATTGAGGTTTCAGTGTACATGCAATACATATCGACACGGCATTTTTTACTGGTGGATATGTAGCAGGCGTTTTGCTTCGTGGCGACACATCTGAATTTCCCTGGTCTATTTGGAGTGAGATCATGCTTTTCAGTGGACATTTCAGATCAGCTTGAATCATACCAGATCGCTCTCGCATGCTCTAGTGTTGAGGCACGGATTCATGTGGAAAACAGCCTGCATCACATCCATCGTCTTGTCTTGTGTCCGGCGTAGCTTTCAGTACCTGTCTGTTATGCTCGAAAAGTTCCTGTACACTCTTTCACATAGTGTTTCTACTTTCAGAATGAAATACACAGAATTTTCACACCTGCTCCAGGATTGTGGTAACCACTTATCAAGATTGACCAGTGAAAAAAATGCCAACAGTTATATTACTATAAAGCTGCCAAATAACATTACTTTGCTATATCACAATGAAGAAAATCTCATTACTTTCAATGAAACAGGTATCAAAGAGGGACACAAAAGGCAATTATTAGGTCAATATGCATTGCTGGAAACACCAGTTCAAAAGCCTCCTAGTGTTTGTTTACATGCCAAGAAAAAAAAGCCAGTTTTATCGGTTGAAAAGCTGAACAAATATTTGTTGGGCAATTTTATATCTAAATAATATAAGAATAGAAAGCTTCCGATTTCTTCACTACACACTAACGATTCTCCTCTCGTGCATCACTGACTTGCTTTGAAATATCAAATGACTCTCTATTACTTAAGGGGGCAGACTGCTCTTTGGGACCAAAAAGTGACAAAAAAATTCATTTTTTAAAATTGACATATTTGGTTTCTGCAAGTATTTTTCTATCTCTCTGCAAATTTTCACGCACCAGGAAGCAGTAATTTTTTTGTAATGTGATGTTAACTGTCCAGATTCTTGGTGCTGTCAACATGCAGAACCTGCAAAAAAATAGGGAACCGACTTTGAGGCTTCTTTATAATTTGCCAGCACCTTTGTCTAGAGCTCTCCTACTAATTTATGAGCGCCTTCATGAGGATCGCAAAACATGCACACCATGATTGTTGCTTTTTAAGAAACTGTGTGTTTTCAGTTTTTTCCATTTTTCTCAAAAAAGTAAATTTGTGACTATTCAATTTTGAGGCCTCAATATCTCTGCAGCCTGGGCAGGTACAACAATAATTCCCTTTGCAGTGGAAAGCTGTATGTGTGTAGAATGCAAGTATGGGAGCAGAATTTAGAGCACATGCCTTTTTAATTAATTACTAATCAGTATTGTAACACAATTCCAACTGCTTTTGAAAATGTGTAGTTCATTTTGCTGCAAAATAACCAATAAAGGCCTAAAAACAAAAACCTCTTCCATACTTTCACTCTATAGTCATTAGTCTATGTTGGCATATCCTAAATATCACTTTTAATTAGGCACTTTTTCTTCTATGGTGGCCTTAAACAATAGGGGGCAAACTTAAGTTATCTCAGGAACAAAGTGAATGACAGGAAAACTAATTAAATATTTGAAATCAGCACAAAAAACTGCATAACCATGTGCAGTTTTATCAAGATCACTGAAGAAATAAACAAAAAATGTCTAAGACCAGTCTGCCCCCTTAAACGGAGGACTAATGATGGCATTTTTATTGAAATATACTCTTTAGTATCATTTCAGAATACTTTGCTTGTAGGTGTAAAGAAGAAATCCCTTGATGTATATTAAAAAAACATTGCAGTCACACTTGTCAAACTCATGCATACTTTACAATGTTCATGGCAACACTGCTTTTGTATTTCATTTTGTTTCTTACCTGCTAACCTTAACAATTTGTGCTTATTTTTCTATGTTTGACCATAGTTCACCAGAATGTCGTTCTCTGATGTATGATTTTATAGAAGGTCCCACACTATCTCTCGAGTTTGAGACCTCCATCTGTATTTATATATCTCTAATGCAACTTATCAAGCGCACTTCGATAATAATATCTTCAAACTTGTGTAAGTGCACATATCAAATACCTACTAACTTCACACAACAGAAATCTCTTAAGAATGTCGTTTAAGTGAATAAATCTTGTAGTTGACAGGTGGTACAATTCTTTCTGAATCATACTTGGTATCAGCGCTGTGGTAGAGTGACATAGACTTGACACCACTTGTGCCTCGACATTTATCGCAACGAAAACTCCGTTTCACACTTCGCACACAATGTTGCTGGAAGCTATGCAAGTCTCGCCATATTTTCTACATTTAGCTTTGTAAAAATGGCCCCACAGTTAGATCCACTTGCGAATACCTGCCAAGCACCTACTAATGCTGTTTCACTGTTCACTATGAAATGACAGACAAAAAGCATTCCACCAGAGTGGGCTTTCACTCACTGACATTCCAGCAGGAAGGGCAATTTCCCCTGTGGCAGGGTTCCTCGCATACATGCTGCCCACACGAAAGACGTTTGCCGCACACAAGCGGGCAGCGGTGCTCGACGTCCACACAACACAGGGCTAGGCACTTGTGGCGGCCACACTGCCGCCGCTTCTGACAACGACGTTGACACAGTTCGGGCTCCTGCCGCTCCGGAGAGCCAAGCTCGACACAAGGAAGCTCGCGCGACGTTGCACCACATCGGCATCGCACGGCACTTGATCGTGTGCATGGGGGGCAAGCTCCCTCGTGGCATTGGGCAGCGCATCGGTGCCAATTGCCTGCGAGTAGAGCTCTACATTGCAGATTACAAACATTTTTTAAAATATTTTAGAAAATATTTAGCAACAGATCTTTAAAGAAACATTTGTGGCTATATGGCTATACTCAAACTTGTTTAATCATAGTGTCAAAAATTAGTAAAGCATAACTTAACTGAGGAGCTGTTAAAGAATTAACATTTCAGTGAGTTACAACTTTCGGTGAGTTGCAACTGGTTAGTCATCTTAAATGGGCTGTGCAGAAGACATATCAGCTTACCAGAGAGATTATTAAAGCTTACAACATAAACAAAAAAGGCACTCAATGTGTAAGCGCACCTTCAGTATTACCCAAAAACAACGACATTTAATTTCTGAATATCTAATGTAGTAAAGTAATGGACATATGACAACCTTTTTCTTTGCTCATAAGTGCATAAAATTGTTGTCATCGATGCGAGGACATGTAGATGAAGGTGACAGTTTAGTCATGTATGTGCTTTTTATTTGTGTTTGCAAAACCACACTGTCATGTGTTTCTCAATGCCTTGTGTACTCTTTTCTTGTGCTACCTATTCAAGACGACAAATCACTCAACTTTTTTGCTAATTTACTTGTGCTGCAACCCTGAATGTAGTAACAGATAGGGAAATAACTTTATTGGGTCCAGCGGTTTAGGAAGCAGGTCCCCGCCTAAAGGGCAGCCAGTAGCCCTTGGGTCTTGGTGGAGTTATTGGCCAGCTGGATTGCCCGGAATTGCTCTTTCCTATCTGAGCTTAGTCGTCCAACCACCCACTGCGCATCATTACCTGTGTTGCGACTATGTAAGGATACCTGATAGCCCACAAAAGCGTCTGCAAGCTCACAGAATGTGTCTCAGATTGGCTCGTTCCCCACATAGCTGGAACTTGCCATTGTATTGGTCTGTGTAATAACGGTTGTAGGCCATCGGATCCAGATAAGTATTAGTTTAGGGAAGGCAGAGTCAAAGACTTGGCTTGTTAAAGTGTCAGAGCATATGGTTTGGATATCTCGAGTTTATAGTAACTGTTAAAATGATAAGCACAATAACAATTACTGTTGGGTTTAACGTCCCAAAACCACAATATTATTATGAAAGACGCCGTAGTGGACGGCTCCGAAAATTTCAACCACCTGCGGTTCTCTAATGTGCACTTAAATCTAAGCAGATGGGACTCAAGCATTTTTGCCTTTATTGAAAATGCGGCTGCCATGACGGGGATCCAATCCCGCGACCTGCGTGTCAGCATCCGAAAGCTTTAACAACTAGACAACCGTGGCAGTTAATGGTAACCGTAAATTCAGGATATGCAAAAAAAAAAAGAAAAAATAATAGTGAGCTTTACCTTTTGGACCACACTGGAGCAGCTTCCCACAAGTATTTCCGCATGTAGGCACAGGGTCTGAGCATGAGAGCCTGGGTTTGGCTCCCTCTATGCTAGCTAATCGGCTCTTGCCGCATGGGCAGTGTGTTACTGAGTCCGGCAGGAGAGGGCAGGGGCCACACTCGCCAAAGTGGCACTCCTCCTCGCACGTATGGAGTCCACAATGCAGGGACCGGCCACAGGGATCACCGCACGAGAACTCGCTGGATGCGTTTGATTCCAGTGTACAGAGGGATTCCCGCTTCTGTTTGCCGCAGAAGCACTCTGCGACAGCACAATCAGGGCACGTGAGAATCCAATAGCACGTTTCAGATAACTAAGTGGAGATATTGCTAAAAGCCTTTCTGGTAGGGTAAAACAATGAATATAAGTGATAAAATGTGCCCACTACAGAAGAAAATGAAGAAACAGCATTTCAGCTCCCAAAATAAGAAACCAAACCGCACTGTAGCGAAAGTTCAGTTGGACCTGCAATTTTTTAATACGGTCAGACCCACTGATAACGATCCCAGATATAATAGCCTGTTGGTTATAGCGACCATATTACGGTGCACTTATTATTTTCCTAAGCTACCTTTCGAAACTGAGTCCACATATAGCGAACAGTTTTTAAAGCCCCCTATTTTTACAATGAGCACTTCCAGCATGGTCGTGGTAAAAATATGGTGCAAACAAACTGAAAAAAAAAAGAAAAAAACAATTTAGAACAGACACTTTAAACCATGTGACAGATGCACGCTTGCGCATACTCGGCTGCAGTTCACTTGCGACGAAGATATCGTAGACCCGTGACGAGAACCGCACGCAGATTTCGGATGCTGCGAGCAAGGTCGCTCACTTTCCATGTGTTTCTTCTTCACCGGCAAAACGAAAGTGAGAGAGAGGGAAAAAAAAAGAAATAGGAGGCAGCATAAAGACTTGTAGCCAGCTTCCACACAGAAAACTTTTTTGGCGCAGTTCTCGGCATCTACGACTGCCAATGATTGAACAACGCCTTCAAATGCAAGAAGCCGAAAATTCGAGAAGCGTTAACTTTATCAATGTGCTACAAAACGTTTTCCGCTTTTTGGTAATGGCGGAGACAGGTAAATAAGTGATAACAACTTCCATGCGGTCGCGGTGGTGCCTTAACCAACAGGCATGAGCAAGAGCGATGGCGAGGTGGCGATGAGTGGGCCATTTTGACTCCTCACCGACAACCTTATCACAGTCATCTGCAGATATCTGCTCGGCGAAGTGATGGCGGTACAAGCGCATCATGCCAATGCTCGAAAGTTCACCCCCGCCGCATTATGCGAGGCCATTTGTGCGCGTTGCCTACAAAATTCGTCTTTGTTGTGTTAACAAACAGGCCACTTGCCGCACCCAAGCACGATCCCGAGTGAAGCCTGCATGAACAACGCACAAATGTGCATATGCATTGGACTTCATACAATTCGTCATGCGACGGCAAAAGCAAAGTAAGCGACGCGCTGCACGCAACTAGGCAGGTATGATTGGTTCAACGTGGCGGTACCGCGCTTTATTAGAAAGGCGCGAGTTCATTGCGAACGTGGTTTAATTGCCTCGTGAGCAAACAGGTGTCGCTTAACACGCGGAAAGGCCTAACTTGTCAGCGGAAAGGTTGCTAGCACTTTTCAATAAAAATACAAAAAAAAGAAGGGTTTGGTCGCTAAGTGCACGTTTTTATGGGCAAGTCCATATACAACGAACTACTGATATAACGACTACTTATCACAGTACTATTTAGTTCTTATAAATGGGTTAGACTGTACTGAATTATTGTTTTCAGTGGTTTGTACAACATTTTAATTGCTAGCATGTTTCACAGATTGCACCATGCATCAAACATAAAGATCTTTGACTGAATGCATGGCTGAAGACCAGCATAGTTTTTCCGTTTGGCTGGAGGGGTGGAGAGGGGAAGAAAAGAAGGCTAGATGGTAAGGACTAACAGTGCGTTGAGAAAATGCAGTAAACAAAAAAATGAATGTGGCACTGCTGTGATCACAATTTTAAAGTATGTCGGTACGAGGATGGATTGATATGTGGGGTTTAACATCCCAAAGCCAGTACAAGGATCATTCCAGCATTATCCACATGCCTAGAACAAAATGCGGCTACCAATTACGGCTGCTAAGGAGTGTTCCCCCTTCCCACCATGACTGACACCTTTGGCTACACGCAAAAAACAACAGTTATCAGCTAATCTTAGACAGCTTATGCACTTCAGGCCACAGGGGTAAACAAAAATTAAGAATGGCTTCACATGTGGTCATTAATTACTCTGTGGCAGGTTATCCTAACGAGACAGTATACAGTAAACTCTCAGTAAACAAAAATCTGTTGAATGAAACTGCTTTTTGAATAGAACTCTCACTTATGTTATTGGTTCCATACTTGGATTTTGCAATTTTGTTTCTCTCTCAGTGAATTGGACCCGTTAAATGAAACATATTTTGCTGGTCCCTTCAGATTGCAAATAATGGGAGTCTCCTGCATAGTATATTCTTTTTATTGATCTTTATCTAGATTGTATAACATTACTGTCAAAATTATCTGACAGTTTCTTTTGTTTGTCATCGTTGCAAGCAAAGTCACAGTGACGAGTATAAGAATAAGAAAGGTACAGCTGTTTGAAGCAAGATGTACATGTTCAGCTAAGAGCCAAAGAGTAAGGTAAAATTAAAGATGGTAAGGCAATCTGAAATTATATACTGATCAAGACTACAGAAGTAAAAAGAGAACCGTGACAACTACAGTGACAAAATTTCTTGTAGACAAAAAACAATGATCTCATCAAGATGCTTTGCGAAAAAGGAGCAAATTTTTCCCTTCTAGCAAGTGTACAATATGTCTGGCCTTCAGACCAATTACTTGAAGATGGTCATAATGGCACTTATAAACCAGTCCATAAAAGCGTGCTGTGCGTTTCTTTCAGTGCCATTCAAACCTGTATTCTAGCAAACTATCTAAAGTATCAGTGATTGGTGTTAGGAAAGGCACCATACTTCCCCGTGAAACTCTATTTAAGCGGAGAGAAGCATGGTATGTTCACAAAAGCAACTCCAGCATGCAAGTTATGCCATCATTTCTGGTGTGCCCTTGCTGGGACAGTGATTCCTGACTATGAAGCTCGGCAAACGCAGCTTTAATAGTGCGAGTTTGGAAGCACACTGACGTGCGCAATCACCACTTCCTTCAGTAAGCACAACGAATTCTAAGTGGTTCGATATTTTCACGAGATACAATGGTTTATGCTTCATGTGAGGAAAGGCACTGCCGCGTTATGAAAAGATTATATAGCAGCAAAAACGCAGTCACACACTTACTTTGTTGCACTGTGCGGGCACAGGGATCACAGGAACCTGTATGGCATTGTGCCTGGCAAGTGTGGATCTCACAGTTCAGAAGACGGCCACAGGGCTCACCACAGCTAGCCTCGTGCTCCTGGCTGCACCGCACGTGCTGTGGTACATGAATGGAAAGTGATCATAAGTTAGGAGACACAGAAAATTGATTATTAGGCTCACTTCATAACTATCACAATATAAAACATCACCACAAATGAAGCAAGATTAGCTACCATCATGATACTCCCAAAGAAATTTTCTATAAGAAAAAGGGACTTGCTTTTTATGTTAACACTGACCACTGACATACACGTATACAGTGGAAATTTGATTATACGTCCCCCAGTCTCAAGACTACTCGCATTTTACAACGAATCGGTTTGCTCCCGAAAAAATCCCCATAGAAAATAATGTATTAAGAACCTTGATTCTACGACGACCCCACCATCTTTTACGCCGACCCCACCATCTTATGACAATTTCAGATTCCACCCGAAATAAACCACCTTCACTCAAATCAAACGTCAACCGAATATTCACGACTGCGAAATATGAACTTGCGCTCCCCTAGGTTGACAATTGGAAAAGTAGAATGAGACAGGATGTCTTCTTAGATTGGAAAATTTATTCTCCTGGAAGTTTACGCACTTCTACATATGCCTCGATTGTGTGCATAAGTACGGGGTCATTAACTAGTCAAGCTCTATCCACAGAGTCACTTCGGTCGACCAAAAAGCTGATATGTCACGTTTTCAGTTGGTGGAAACTTTCCATGGTCGACATACAGATGATCTCCTGCCTTTGGCGCACTCGAAGTCACAGGCTTGCACACGCATTATGGCGCGACGCAGTCGTTTTCACCGAGCAAAGTTACTTTCACTTGACGTCAACATTTATAGTAAGAGCTGGACGCCACCAGTTGCACTTTCCAAGGCAATAAATTGCAACGCTCAGTTGAGCACGAAGGCATTCAGGCAAACTCGTGGTCAGTCACCATCATGTGATAAGCGATGACACCGCATCCGACTCTTTTGACGAGAGGCTGTTGGCAACGTGGTTTCGCTTTCACGCTCAGGCAATTTTCGGACTCAGTTAATCGGTAGAAAGATGGCTGTTGGATTCGATTTTTTTTTAATGTTGAGAATAAAGATTGGCTCGCATCCCCTTCAACTAAGCAATGCTGCCATAAGCTGCCATAAGCTGCCACTGGTAAGAATAATTTAATATACCTTCCTTGTAGAGGCCCAACCAGTGCCTTGATCGCAACGCGAGAATGTTATATGTCCGATTCACTGGACACAAGGACGCAATTAGATCGCATCGTGCCAGCAGGAAAAAAGAAAACTAGCAGTGAGCGTCAGGCGCAAACCTCAAGCCCAGCCATCAAAAATGAAACAGGAGCATCCCAAAAATTCTACCAAAAGCATGGAGCACGAGCAGAAAGTGGCGTCAGAGGAAGTTGGCTTATGTCCGCTACACATGGTTCCTCGTAGGTTTTTTACCTTCATGACGCTATGTGCGACAGTTAACCATGACAATTTTTTTTCTTCTCGGATCAAAACAAACAGTTTCCGTGTTTTGTAAGCCTCCTATATTTTTTTGCATGCTTTTCAATAGCCTCTTAGCAAGAAATGAACACAAACAAGTTTTGTCCTACCCTACGAAAAATTCAAGTTAAATTAGAAACAAAACCAACAGTCTGTGGAAAAACTGAGTTGGTGAGAGCAGAGTATTGGGTACTTGTCATGAGGTTTTTCCTTCGTGTGCAACTTCTTTTTCTTTTTTTGATGCAAGTGCCATTCACAATCTGTAAGAACCATCAATACACATTCAGTTCAGTTATATTCCCAAAAGGCCTCTTCCACAGATTGCAGAATGGAACAGTTGGAATGCTAATTTACTTTGCAGCACCAATCTTGCAGAAGGACATCTGTAAAGTCTTGCTAGTCTTATAATCTGTTCAAATAAGTACATACGACCATGTACCTGTTCAATGCACACGGGTACTCAAAATTTTCATTGGTGGAGCTTCATGAATGAGCTAGGTATAAATGGTGCTATTTGTTGACAATGTATTTCACAGCAAATTGTTACTATTGGTTTTTATTGTTACTATTTGTTACTATTGGTTCCACCGTACCCTAATGAGCTTTCCACATGGGCACGGCCTTCTCACAGTGGCACTACAGGGAGGGCACTGGCCAGGATGGCATTGGAGATTGCAGCGGTGCACGCACATGGAAGACGCACCCCGTGACCGGCCACACATCTCGCCACAGCTGTGCGGCACTCCATACCGGTTCCATTCCGGGTTCGCTCGCTTCCCACAGAAGCAGATGTAGCGGTCGGGCACCGCCAGCACAGTGCCTTGGCAGCCCGGACACCGCCACCCACCTTCTGCAGCCACACACCAGAAAGAATGGTCACTCACCAAAACACTGAAAGCTCTGCAAATATCACACACTACATCGCAGACTCAAAAGGATCTGCGGTAAATTTGTGGAAGCTTGCACAGCTGCTCGTAGAGCTTTCTAGGCTTGGCAGCATGTATTTACATCAGTAGAGAAATTATTTCAGTTTTATTTGTATGAAGTTAGAGAATATATAACAGCCAAGAGTGCATGCATGATTGCTGCTAGCAAATAGGCTTGAATTTAAACTAAACATACCCCATATATACTTGTGTTCCTCGCAGTCAGTTTAGCTACGTTTTCATATTGAGCCTCCATTGTGAGCACGGTGTTGTGCACATACATTTTCGAACCTTGTTTATCCGGGAAAAGTGTAGGCACGTTGCAACGATGTGTTTCTAATATTGTGTATTTATTACTGTAAGATATAATTTTTGCTCTTAGCAATCAGCAATGGTCTGACCTCACTGCGATGCCGCAACCTTTCAGTGAACCGAGGTTTGTAAGAGAGAATCTGATAATCTGAGATTGTGTGAATTTTTTTTTTATGCTGCATGCTAGCAATACAAAAGTCACCCGACAAATAAACAGGTCACATTAACGAGAGAAGTTCACTTTCTTCTTCTTATGTAAACTAGATCAATGCACCCTTATCAAGCAACACTATTTCTGCAAAGAAACCTTGCTACACATTTGACATGGTAAGCGAGCCTGCACACAAGACTCTCAACAAAGAATCTCGGCCAAACACTGGTTTTGCATGTAAAGCCTGGAACCCACGACTCCAAGAAAGTGTCCTATGTTTCCTTGATCCCTGAAACTCATCATACCGTCCAGCGAGCGTAGGCTCGCAGATGTTGCCTGCATCGGCACTGCGAGGCAAGAGAGGTGCAGCGTAGGAGAGGAGAGAAGGGGAAAGCGTTTGGCCCGGTAAGGGTGGTCACGTCGCACACTGGATTGAGCTCAGCCATAAGATACTTCGCACTGAATGTATTTTATGAGTGGTGTACAGTTGCTAGTGAATGGGGATCAAGTAACCCAGCTGCAGCAGCATTTATCTGACACATTAGGCGCGACTAGTTCGAAAAGGCAAGAAAAAAAAAAGTTACCCAACACACTGAACATCCCACTTTGAAATATGGCAAGACGGCTAAAAAGAAAATGTTGACACGCACGACTAACCTTTTACAAGAGCTGCAGGTGAAAGTGCCCACTTGCGGACACATGACAGATGAAAGATGTGGTAGCAGCTAGAGCAACTCCAAATGGCGTCAGTACCCCGAACTCGTTCGCAGCACACCATGCATTCATACTCTCCAGAAAGCAGCTGATCCGTCAGACGATCTGTAGGCATGGAAATGAACACGTAAGCATTGGTACTGTTGGCGATGTCACTCATGTGTTTGAACAGGTAACAAAATGTCATGCTCGTGTTGCCTCAATGTTTGTGCTGCTTCATTACTGAGCACATGGATACATAAGGATCTTATTTAAGTTGGGGAGAGGGATCAGTCGTCACTATATGCGTGTGCATGAGTACGAGTGCATACAAATACATATGCACACAGACTGAAAATTTCTTGGGACTTCAGTCCTATGGCATGACACGAATAAAAGCCAAAGAAAAGGTGTGGCATAGGCAACTGCATCCCACATAAAATACTACTGTATCCCACGTAAAATACTATGTCCCAATGAGCCGATTCCCAAGCTACCTGCTTCAAGATCCTCATTATCGCTTTGTATAACAGTTTTTGTAAAATTATCAGTAGAATGTAGAATTACCAGTGGCTTATATGGGGAAACTTGCGATCGACATTTGCAGAATGGAACTATGCTCAATATCATTGTCATCTTGGGAAAAAATTTGACAGCAGCCATACAAGCCCAGAATCAGGAATGAAAATGTAGGAACAAATGAAAGCAGCGCTCGAACTTGTGTCAACCATTTGAAAAGACAGATTAGCTTAAGCTTAAATCAATGAACCTCCACAGATTTGCAGGATGCTATAATTTTCATACAAAATTCAATGCAACAGCAGTTAATTTTCTTCCTGAAACGGTTTCTTAGATGAATATTTAAAAAATAATCATGAAATCCTTGCTTGTGTCACTCTAAAAACAACTTGCAGAACATTAGACATTTTCTGACCTTTCTGCGGTGCATCTTCTGGTCTTGGCATTTGGGGGTAGCTTCGAGATGAGGAGCCTTGTTTTCGACTTGGGTATTGCTGCCTCGATGAGCTCGGGTGGTGCCTCCGGTTTGCTTCTTGAGGATCATAACTAGAAAAATTGTTGTGTTTATGATCGTGAGCACAATACTTAGCCTTGCCACTTCTCTCACTATTTTGAATACTCTGCTGGGCTTCCCTAACATCGCCATCAACAATCTGTTCTGTTTGTGAATGTTCGCTGTGGCGACTATTTGGCCTGTTTCTGTTGTCTCTCCTGTCATTTTTCCTTTGCTGGTAACGACCCTTCTGTGAAGGACCTGCTCCCTCTCCATAATCTCGGTACTTTTGTTGCCAATCCGTGTTTGAGCTGAAATCCTGGCTTCTTCCAGCTTGATGACTGGTCTTCGAGTTTCGGTTCCTCACACGAGGCGACCGCCTACCGTCATCTGCTAATTTCCTGCAAGGCCCACCATCGCTCTTTTGCTGCTGGAAGGATTTTCTTTCGTGGCCGTCTCTTACTTGCTCTTGCAGCTGGTCGGTTGCAGGTGATGCACATCTCAACTGAGATTCACCCGTGCCTGCTGCTGATCGACCGTTGCCCGGTTCATATGGTTCATGATGTCTCTGTGTTTTCTTCCATTGCGAGTCTTTCCTGGCCCCAACATTGCGCTTCGCGGGTCCCTGTCTTTGCACTTCGTCACGAGCTGACGACTCGGAAAAGGCAACAGAATTCGCACAAGAGTTCTTCTTGCCACGTTTCCCACGCGGGGGTTGAGCACACTGACCTGATACGTTCTCGGCAGCATTCTCCTGAGGGCGAATTCTGTCAGAGGCCACAGAGCACGCAGGCACTTCATGTGGGACATCCTCCCATCCTCGCTCATCAGCTACACGGTCGTTAGGAGCAACACGGGCTCTATTTCGCGGTCTCCGGTCGAACCTGAATGGTTCGCCTTTCCGACGACTGCGATCTTGAGTAGTTCGCCGCGGTGCCTCGGCCACAGTGTGGGACTCGGATTTCTGTTTTGAGCGCTCTGAGCGTTGCTCGGTGCGAGAACCGCTTTGGTGGACGGCGTGGCGTTCGCGAGGTCTCTCGGAGTCCCGGCCCCAAGGCGGTGAATCAACGGGCTGGCTACTGTTCACGTCATAATAGTACGTTCCTGCAAAGTCGACGCCACCGTTGTGCAAGCTGTGTCTACGGCGGTCCCCGTCCCACCCACCACAAGCACCGTGAGCGTCGTAAGCGCTGCGATCTTCCATCCTGAACGGCTTAATCGGCGCTACTTAAACGAAGTCCTCCGACTCAAGTACGTTGCGTTTAAAACGCGAGTCGATTCACCAAAAGTGTACAGCAGACAGCCGTCCTTACCTACTTCCTGCTGAGCGGTAATGTCCCTAGCTTAATTCTCGCCGCACACAACGAAGAAAATTCTCACCGGTCCAATACGACGTTTGTACAAAAACGGTGTCTGATGTAGCACAGGGCTTCAACGCGTCCGCACGCAGGGCATCACTTCACACGCTCACTGATCATTTGCGATGAGGATGTCACACGCCAAACGCGCCGACGACCTCTAAATACGTCCAAACGTTGTGTTCTTGTGCATGCGCAAGAACACACTAAATGCAAGTCGAAACTAAGCGGTGGTATTTCACCACAAAACACTTACTACCATTTATTTCACCGCATGGAAGGTGTTCTGCGGCATTGGTACGTAACTGCACACGAAATAACCTTAATTACACACACGGAAAGAGGAATAGAGGATGGACAACGTTGTGGAAGCAGAGCGCCGGTTGCGCCCCCTAGACGAGCGCTCGTTTCATGCTTTTCGTACCCCATCCCTTCTAATTTCACAATTTCGTAGATTCAAATGTAAATAAGCAGAAAAATGTTTGTCTGGCGACGTCGCGTAGCTATCTACAACAGTCACAGCCAAAGTAAGACATTGAGCAGTCTCCGAAACGTCCCTTTTACTTCGAAAAGTGCGGCTGGAGCTATCGCTATTGAAAGTGCGATTAAACATGGCCGCAACGGCACTTTAGGGTGCGGGCGGGAATCGCTAGGGCATAGAGTAGGGCTTGAAGTAACTCTAGAGAGGGGGGCGGGGTCCTGACAATTGTTTTTAGTAGCATAAGAACATCAGCCATAGCGTAAATAGTGTATAGTGCTCCCCTCATATGTCCTTATCGGTGAATGAAGCGGCAAGAACAAAAGAGTGGGGGGAGGGGCGTCGAGGAAGTGATCACCTCTACCACCTCCACCTCTAGATCCGCCACTCTCGTTGCAAACACGGAATAAAAATAAAAAAAAAACGAACATTTGTAACTGCAGCATAATTGCGCTTGCACTTTTTGGACGATTTCGTCATTCACGAGCGCTGGACACTCGTGCGCAGGCCCGAGCACTGTTAAAACTTCCTGTTTCGTACGATTAAATACAATTACTGGGCGCCTGTTAACTTTCGCCTCATTACAAAAGTTCAACCTTATAACGCGCTTAATTTCCGGTCGCTTGGTGTCATGTGCAACAGGGAATTCACGAAGCGAGCGCAATCGAGCAGCAATGGCCGCGCGTAGCTTGTCATGAAAAAACGCTGGTTTCCTTTCTCCTCGCGCTCGCAAATAACCGCGCTATCCGTTACACACATTCACAACTGTCAATACCACAACGATCACGACAAGTGAAATTTCGACAGCAGGTGTAGCACGGAGCTTGGAAGCGTTCTGCATGATAACATATATCGTATATTATATTTCAAAACTTGAAAAAATGGAAGCAAATTAGAACGAAATGAAAGAGAGACAGATGCTATCTTCCTCTCCTCTCCTTCTGTTTACTTTCATTTTACAACTAATCAATGGCGATAACTTAAATCCACCAGCGTTTCTTATCAATCTCTTTCAGTGAGAAAATATTATTGAGCATTGCTCGCAGGAATGAAAACAACACATAGCTTGCCACGGGACTCCGGTTTTGGGAGTAACAAAAAATCACAGCACATAAACGGAGTGAATGATAATGAGTGGGGCGAAGCGGTCATCCATCCGTCCGTGCGTCAGGGCCCAGTTAACAGCTAGTGCGAAGGGCCCAGTTCAAAAGATAAGGGGGGTCCCTCGCTCTGCCCTCTTACTTTCCCGCTTTGTCATCTCATGCTTGAGACTTGACGCTTTTAAGTGTGAATACACTTTATAAGCGACCCCAAACCATCCACCGCCGTCGGCGGCGTCCGCAGTCTTCTCTCTATCTTAAAAGAGGACTTGGCGGGCCGCAGCGCAACGCTCTTACCGAATAAGCCACGGACGCGACGCTGATAGTCCCCCTCCCCCTTCGCTCGCTCCTCCGCTCTCCTCACTCGCTGCAGCTGCGCGCGCACCCCTCTCTCTCGCGCGCCCGCCTTCTCCCTCAGTCTCCCGTCGAGAGCGGGTCGTGCGATGGATTCCCGGAGGCAACGCTACCACCTGGATATAAGGCGCGTTACTGACACCGATATCAGCGTCGCCAACGGATTTTAACTTTACTCCCCCTCATAGCATCACCCCGTGCATTCGCACTTAACCATGTTCACCATCGGGGAAATGCTTGGGAGTTTTTAGATTTAGCTGCAAAGAACACAAGTCATATTTATTTTAAGCCTCTAGGCGTTTTCTTTCTTGCAGTGTGTGCACACGAAACTTTTTTTACCGAAGAATGCGTCATGAGAGCTGTGCTGCCTAGTGGATTGATGAGCGCGGCTGCGGTGCTATGTCAGCTCGGAAAAAGCAAATTGTTCACCTGAGCCGCCCGTGGTTGCTATGCCAGTCGTTGCGAGTTCATAAGTGATGGTCAATTGAGGACCCCCGCCACAATGCTCAAGCAATAGCAGTGAGGGTCTGCTGACAACCAGATAGTGGATATATGTTGTAGATATTTCCTGTGTACAAAATCTACCGAGTGATTTAACCACCAAGCAGGAATTAATACCGAACGGCAATGCCAGAAGCTCTACGAATCAAACCATTACTCCGTCGGAGTCTTCATAATCAGAAAGTCCCGTACCATGCAAATATCTCATGGTGCGTTGTTTACATTACAATGAAAGCATACTATAGCATACCTATGAGTCAGTTTCATACCGGTTATTTGCTTTCAGCGCACTTAACGATATTCCAGACAGGAACTACTCTCAAGCACCTTGATTCGCATTGCGTTTTGGACCGTAGATGCTGAAATTCTTGTCAGGCTGCTATATGCATGTGTCAATCCGCTGGATCAGCTTCTTCCCTCTACACGATCCATAGTATTGGCGAGTGAAAGGTTTTTACCACAGACAGCAGATCTGTGAGCTGACTTTAAGATTATGCACGTTATGTAACGACCAACCTCTTAAAGAAGCAAGAATGTTGGTTATTGAAATAGATAGTCTGTTTTTATCAGCGGAATTCAGCAGGATGATTAAACTTTTTCTAACAAAACAACGAAGTCGGCCATTTTTTGTGGCCCTTGGGGGCCCCCTTAAAACAGAAGGGCCCGGTTCATTTGAACCCTGGATAATCCGCCCCAGCCATCCGTCCATCTGTCCGTCCGTATGTCCGTGCATTCATCCATCCGTACGTCCGTCCGTTGCTAGTCTGCCTGTTCGTCCGTGCACATGTCTGTCTAGTGAACACTCCAATTGTACCGCCATCTCGCATATTTTCATCATATAATTATCATATACAAGTACCGCCATGCAGCGGACATTCCAAGGACTAAATGAGAGGTGGCTACCTACTACTACTACTACTACTACTACTACTACTACTACTACTACTACAAACATCGCGGATGCACGACCCACGGCATAAGGAGCATCGGCCCTCAAAGACAACATTTGCGAAGTGAATTTGGCACGTCAGCGTTTGCAGCGCGAGGAAGTAACGCTATCGACGCTAAACTAAATGCAGTGGCGAATCGCGATGGGCCGGGCATCTAGTTTTTATTGGCTTCGAGATCTTGGAGTGGCGCCCTCATCGCGTATGACGTCAGCGCGGGGACTTCACTCTCATGCCTCTCTCAACCGCGCTGCAGCAGCCGCTGCTGCTGTGCGCGAATCGTCGGCTTCTGGCGGGAACTTTAGTCGACCCAGAGAACACCTGATCGAACGAACAGCCTCGCGAGGGTCAACTAATGCCTGCAACAGATGTTTTCGAGTGCAGCTATAAAACTTGTTTTAGTTGCGGCCCAATCGACAGGGCCGAGAAATCTCCCATATGGCCGACGAGTACGCCACCGACCGCATTGCTGGTAAGAAAGTGAAATTATGGCAAGCGTTGATCTAGTTTTACTAACTAATGTTCGGGTGTTTCTTTCGATATGTCAATAAACGTGCCATCCTCCAGCATCTACAAGTATCTACAAGCTTCAGCACCTACATCTAAATCTTGCGAAACGTCGCGACCTCATCGACGGCGTGGCGGTGCACGACAGAAGTCACGTTGAATGTGCTGTCGAGGCTGTCAACGGAGATCACATAGCGAACCCGCCACACAACGTCTTCGTGGCGATTGAGTTCGTGGTGACGAATAATCCTCATTGAGTTTTTTTAAATACAGTGTGTTACACACACACACACACACACACACACACACACACACACACACACACACACACACACACACACCACACATATATATATATATATATATATATATATATATATATATATATATATATATATATATATATATATATATATATATATATATATATATATATATATATATATATGAGATCAAACAGACAGTAATGCCAAAATGCCAAGGAATGTACAGGGGAAGTTATTAGAACCAATGGAATGTAAATAAGAAGAAGGTTGTATAAGGTTGTATAAGAGGGACAATTAATCAGCTGCCCGCTCATAATAAGTTCACGTGCTACGTGACGCCAAACATGCGCATAAGAGTGTTTTCACACTCGTCGTTTGGCTTATAGATGGCGCTAACTGTCACTCCTACTTCTAAATTCACATATAAACCCCAAAAAAGTAGATGGAGGGAAAGCCGCTGTGGTAGCTCAGTTGTTAGAGCATCGAACGCGTTATTCGCAGGTCGTAAGTTCGATTCCTGCTCACGGCTGGTTATTTTTTCATCCACTTTTCTTTCTTCTTATTTACATTCCATCGGTTCTAATTACTTCCCCTGTACATTCCTTGGCATTACTGTCTGTTTGATCTCATTAATATTGTGTTAAAACACTGAAAAACGAGCCCTTAGGTATACACTTCTTTCCCATATATATATATATATATATATATATATATATATATATATATATATATATATATATATATATATATATATATAATCACGAGTACTGCACATCTCCAATCCGTGCAGTATTGTTTTGAGCCATATAGATCATGTCAGAGTATTTTTTTACCTGTCAAGCATGGAAATTAACAACAATTGCTTAATGAACTTTTTAAATAGGGACTATAGAGAAAAATCTCCAATTCAGAACATATACCACTTAATCAGATATAATAAAATTATCAATTTGCGGTAAGATAACTGTGCTGTATTGTTTTTTTTTGCAGCTTTTGTTTAAAGCGCACGAAATTGAAAACATATATACCACGTGATTGCCGCCTATCGCGCGACGTTTTAGTGCCCTCACATGTAAGCTCAAGGAATTATCAAAAACTGCTCACGCACGAAGGTCGCTTCAACAGGCTATCAGTGAATACGATGGATTGTCATCAAGTATTTAGACAACAAACTATCAAGCAAGTAT